GGCCAGTAGGTATGCCCTGTGTAGATTCATCAAGATATGGCACCCACACCTCTACCTAGGGATGTTGATAAACATGAGAGACATTGAAACCTTTATGGGGATCTTGATGGAGAGGTCTAAGTTTGAGAGACCGCCGGTGAGTCATAGCTAGACCTATTATTCATTTTGCCCTGATCAGCCCAAATGGCAGCAAGCAGGGTCTCAAGTGAAGTACGCCTTCCAAGTACCTGGAAGCACTGACACTATATTATATATGTGATATAGCTTCAGTCGACATCCCTTAGAGGTCACACCCTAAATCTTCAACCCCAAAACACTCTCTCCCAGACACCCCGGAACTACCTAAACCCTATAAAACCCAATATAAAAACCCAATATAACTCCAATATTAACCCCAATATTAACCCCAATATAAACCCCAATATAAACCCCAATTTAAAACCCCTAAACAGCTCATGGCCTCCACTGCGCCCCAAGGCCCTCAGTGCTGCAGTGGCGGTCAGGGCGTTGGGTGCCGCCGTGTAGCCAGGCATCTCCTTCAGGGAGCACTGAGGAACAGATGGTGTTGATTTGATGACCTGGGTTAGTAAAGGGTTTAGGGTTTAGGGAACAAGTGCAACAACTAAAATGACAAGAATAACAAGTGAGTACCAGCAGCAAGCGAATCCTAAGGATGACGGTGGGGTGAGTAGACTGAATGGCCGCATGTCCATAGTCAGAACTAACAAGAATTGTAAGAATAGTAGCAATAATAGTAATGATAATCGAAATAAAAAAAAATCATAGTAGCACTAAAAATGCGTGAAAAAAAGTCATGACACCCTGCGACGCTCAGACCAGTGGATGGATAGGAGACAACCAATGCGCATCAGCCATACAAGCAGCCTATCCAGGGTCAAAAGCCCGAACAACAAGAATAGCAGCGATAATAGTAGCAATGATAATAGTAGTAACAGTAGTAATGAGAATCGTATTAAGAATAGTAAGAAAGGTACTAACGATCGTAATGATAGAAACCAAAATATTTGTAATGGCTGTAATAATAGGCCATGAAAAGTAACAAACTATGCCCCTAGCGGCTGAAGCACTTGAAGGGTAGCCCTGCTGTACCTGCCCCCTAAACCCTAAGCCCTAAACCTTAAATCCTTGATCCTGAATCCTAATCCTGCAGCAGTGCCAGGACACGCCGCCATTGTGACGCGCGCTCGTATGCCCAGGCTAAGCAGCTGAAGCTCACAGTATCCTTGCAGTCTGTAAAGTCATCATGTGAGCTATAGTCTAAACTCCTGGTATCCCCCTTAAACACCCCATAGTAGTCCCTTATATAGTCCCTTATATAACCCCTTTCAAGGAGTGTAGACTATAGCTCATGTAGGTACTGGTAGTCTGGGTGGCGAAACCAAATAAGATTCCCTATCCTCCCCGTCAAGCACAGAAAACGAGAACATAATCTTACTCTATCAGTCAGTATTCAGGACCGCAGTAACCCTAAACCCTAATCCCTAAACCCTAATCCCTAAACCCTAATCCCTAAACCCCTTTTGAGATAATTCTCATTTCGGTTTTGGGGCTTGCGGTTCTCAAAGGAGCTGTTCCCATGCAAGCTTTAGCCAAAGCAACCATAAATACAAACATGTTCTGTTCCATCATCCCTACATGTGCATATGGGGGATTGTCAAAATTATGGTCCCTTTTTGGGTCCCTATTATAATACGGGGCCTAATACGGGGCCTAATTTAGGGGACCCAAAAAGGGGCCATAATTTGGACAATCCCCCATAAATACATATATAGCGCCCTATAACCCTTTTCGGGACCCCTGAATAACCCCCCGCGAATTGCCCGTGACCCTCCATCACCTCTTCAGCTTCGTTGCCTAGCCTCCTAAACCCTAAACCCATTTACTGCAAAAACCCAATGAGGGTTTAGGGTTTAGGGAAACCCAACCCTGATTTTTCACTCCTGCGACAGGAGCATGAATACTCAGCAAGATCATAACTTTGAAGTGCTCTAGACCACAACTATACAACGAATCTAAGATCAAAGTAATGGTAATCATGTAGGATACAGCATGACATGGCAGTGGCTCACAAGACCTTGCCCCAACACTCCGGGAATGTAGGTTCTACTTTTTGGTTAGTACCCACTTTAAGGGAGTATATTCCCATGGGTCCTTTCTTTACGAGGACCTGTAGAACAACCCCCCTTCTTTCTCTGGTTCCCATGTTTTGCAGACAGCAGTCCGGGCTTAGCCTCGCAGACCGCATGCGCTGGAACAGTGCAACGGCCTCCAGGCTTGGGTTTGGGTGTGAGTTTTAGGAATTATAGGCTTCAGGGGTTTGAGGGTTTGAGGGTTTCGGGCTTGGGCATGCGGATGTGAAGTTGATGGTTTGCAATTCCCGCAAGGGTTTGTCGGGTTTGCCTGATTTGGGGTATGGGGCTTGGGAATCAACCTGTTCCCCTCTTCTTGCGGCCGTGCTACAGCTACAATGACAATTTCGAAGAGCATTAAACGCCTGTAGATTGGGAGCAGGGGTAATTTCGTAAAATTCCGTAAATCAGGGGACCGCAATATAGACCCAGAATTACTACAGTCCTTATCATTGGGAGCCCCAAAATGGCACCCCTAATATTTGGAAACCCCCACATTCTACTGGCGGGCAAGCACCACAACTCGCCAACAGAATGAGATGATCAGTCCAATGCTACATCCCTGACCATCATTTTGACCCGACCTGTTTCGCATGTTTCTGGCTCTTCGCGGCTGTGATCCCGATCAGATAACCCCGGCGTGGTCTCAAATCCCCACGGAATCCCAATCATGCCTCAGAGTCCTAAAGTAATGCCTGGTTATCCATCCCTTTCGCACACGGAAGCTAAGCAGCTAAGCCAAACATGGAGGCAAAGGATACTCAAATGGTAAAGGTATCTGGGAATGTCTCCAAAATGGTCCCTACTCAATCTTCAAGAGGGAACCCCATAACCTCCCTATATCTCTAGGGTTCCTAAGGGCCGCCCCTTTGAAAAAACCTCATATTGAGGCACTCTCCTACAGCCCGAAGGCTAAACCGTAAGCCCTAAACACGGGGCCCCTCCTGCACCCAGCCACTGCCCTTCTGCCAAGCGCCAAGAGCTGAACTGGCTGCACGAACGTCCCTTAGATCAACGATTTTGTACTGTTATATGGGGTTTAGAGACAGTACCCTTGTAAGAAAATGGAAAATGAAATGGAAACGATTATTAAGTAGGGGTTATATACAGGGAATTTCATTGACATTAGTCGCTTGTAGCCGCCACCACTTTTCTGTTCTGGCCATGGCTACAAACAGTATTGTTGATGCTACGGCTGGTCGAGTTTGCGCTTGTGAAGTCGGGAAGGCCTGCTGGCCATTTTCCCATGGGATAGCCCCTCAGGAATGGAGTATAGGACACAGCTGCTCATTAGACGTGCTATGCACACCACAAGAGTGACTGTAGTTGTACACTAGCCTCCCTCTGGATCCCTCTCTTTCTCGTCCAAACTCAAAAGCGCGACAATATCCCCATCATCCGTAAAAATCTCTTCTAGTGGTCCAGGGGAAAACCCCACCACACTATGCAAGATCTTGAAACTAAAGCTACAGCAACATGCCCATGACACCTTCAGGCAATCAGTTCATAAACCCAACAAACGGATCCATACCTTTAAGAGCCTCCCCCGCTTAGCCTCCTAACCCTGAACTGGGTTGCTGTTGAGGAACTTAAATTAAGTTACTATAATGAGTTAACCGTATCGTTTACTATATACCCATCTTATGGTCAAACTATGATAACTTAATCTAAGTTCGTCAACCGCAACCCAGTAAACCGGCGTCATAGCTTAGGAGGACCCCCACCCTGTAATAGTGGTATAATAAGAATACAATAGGACCCTAATATACTCCTTATTATCCCTTATAGCAACTATCACCCTAAACCCTAAACCCTAAACCCTAAACCCTACCTAAGTCATAGCTCAGAAGCCCAAGGTGCAGTCCAAAGATGCTCTCGTACACTGAGAAGACCTGAACAGCCTCCCAAGAGCAGGCTTTGCTCTCCAACCTTCCCGACCAGTATGTTGGACTCTATTGGGCTATATAAGGCTGATATAGGGATAGTGGAAAGGAAAATGGAAACTACTATTCAGGGTGTAGCTTTTTGGGAATATTGGCCCAAAAATGGAACATCAAATGGAAAAGAACATAGAAAATAAAAAGGAGCGTTGAGTTTAATGATGTGTGTTTTTGAGGGAGGGGCTGGGGTTACAACAAAGCTCTATTTCAAAAGTGAGGAAGATATCCTTCAGTTACTCCAGAGTTCCTGGTGTGATTCAAAAGATACTCCTTAAACCAAGGGTTCTACACCCTGAATCCGCAGCCGCTAAAGACCAAGGACTGCCATGGTTCCGTTCAACACATGAACACAAAAGAGGATGACAGTGACAAGCGGACTTCTGAAATGCCCATGTGCGCCGGACCCTAAACATTAAACCCTCAAACCTGCCTGTTCCCATCTGGCAACCTTCGCAAGGGCTGCGATCTGGGCACTGAACCTGGCCGAAGCTTTTGCAAGTCTTGTGGCGATCTCTGTCTTCAGCTCTGAGTCTTCTTTTTCAATGTGGGCTCGTTCGGTCCTAGCCCGTTCAACAGGGCACCGAAGCAATGAAAACTTGCCTGGCAGCGTTGCGTGTGGCCAGCGGGGCTTTCGGCATTCGCTCAAGCTCCAAAGTTCATGATGCTGTAGACTGCTTCTGCATATGTGCGTTGGGAGTGGGGCAGAAAACTTGATGTGTTGTGATTGTGAATCCCGCTGACAGAGCTTGAGCCACAGCGGCACCTGTTTGCTAAGAAGCTTCGGTTTGTTTCCCAGCAGGCGTGGCTTCCGAGCACAGCGGTGTGAAATCATGTGACGCCATGATCCAAACATGGCAATGGCAATGCTACGTCATCCCTATGCCGTGAACTTACGGAAGGTCACCCTTTCCTTCAGGCTCATCCGCTTCTTCAGCTTGGGGTTGTGCTGGTCCTCAGCGCCGCAGACCATACTCGAGGTATGATGAGTGCGCCATCATGACATCGCTTGAAATAGCTCAAATGAGCCGCTGAAAGCATTCAGCCTGACAACGCACCCAAGACGCATAGTAGCCCATGCAACTTGTGCAGACGGTCACATTCCACAGAAAAACTGCACGTTGAGTGCGGGGCAGAGTTGAGCAGGATCACACCTTGCTGGAGGTCAAATGAACCAACCGAGCTTTCCAAGCGAAGCAACTTCTGATGAGCAGTGCTAACTCCCAAGCCCTAAGGCTTAATAAATGGGGATTAGTAGGGTATAAGGGAATCTAATCCCTGTATAATCCTTATCAGCTAGTCTCACCATTCGGCTCCTGGAACCAGGACACAGAAATACTTCATTGAGGAAGTCATGGCGACTTCACTCAGGAGCGAGATATCAGGCTGATGTGCAGCTTAGCTGCTGAAAGCAAACGTGTAGGCCGCATCCGGGTGCTTCAAATAGCCTGCTCCCTGCCGGTAAAGGTCACAAGCACCATCCAAGTTGTAAATCTGTTGAGATCTTAGTCGGTTCAAGGTTGGCTATCATTGCCGCATGTGCTGCCTAGCTTGGGGACACATGCCCAGAAGGCCTCTTTGCCAGAACTGCGGCAGTGCTCCACGTGCTTCCTGTAGTAGGTGTGCGCCTCACTGGTTGAAAACAGCAGCATAACCAGAACCGGAATTTCCACAAATAAGGCAGAGTGTCTGCAAGCTACTGCTTGGTGACAACACCACTGCTTGTGCATCTTGCCCGGGTTCCCTGCAAAGATCCGCAGAACTCTATCGATCTGCTGCGCTTCCTTTCGGGGTACCAGGGCTCAGACAAGGGTTGAAGTCCTGTGATCTCTCTGCAAATAGCCCAGGGAAGGGTCCTTCCTTGGGGTGCTGCCTTCCTTAAGTACGAAGCGCGAATAGATGAATTCACTTCAGAGTCTGAAGCACTAGACTCAAAACCATACTGCGAGACAGCATCGCTCCTTGGGCAGGAGGAATGCCTCCAGGAAGCTCCGAAGTGCCTCTGCTGCTTCAAGGTCCCGAAACCCCTAGGGTACTTTCTAGGGCTTATATCGGGATAATGGAAAAGAAAGTGGAAGCTACTGTTTAAGGCTTAACAAGTCTCATCTGGGTGCACTCAGAGTGATAATAGTAGCCCTATATAACCCCAATATA